TCTATTTTCTTCTCTCTCTCTCTTCTCTATTTTTCTTCTCTCTCTCTCTCTCTCTTCTCTCTTTCTCTCTCTTTCTCTGTCTCTGTCTGTCTCTCTCACTCTCGCTCTCTCTCTCTTACGCTCACGCTTTCTTCTCAATCTTTCTCTCTCTTCTCATTTTCTCTCTCTCTCTCTCTCTCTCATAAATCTCTTTCTCTCTCTTCTCATTTTCTCTCGCTCTCGTCCCCTGCCAATCGCGTTCCCCCTTTCAATCTACGCGATTGCGATTGTGTCATCATGACCATGATCTATATCTATCTATATACCTCACAGACCTTTCCGTCCACGTTCCTCCCTGCGGCCACAGTGGTATGCCTTCGCGCAGTCCGTTGCTATTGCTATTATATGATCCACATAATGCAGACAGGTGTGCGAGCAATTCTAATGAAGATCTTTCAAGTGGGGTTAGAACGGCGGTAGAATCGCGGCTTCCCATAACACGATAGCTTGCGGGAGCGACCGTTGTTAATTAGTAAGCAGGTAATATAAGTGTAGAGGAGAGGGAGAGGAGCGCGTGCGCGCACACACACATATGCTCTTTCTCGCTCGCTACAGCCTTCTCGTCTCCTCTCTCTCTGCGATCTTTCTCCAATCTCTCTCCCTGCCACTCTCTCTCTGCTCTCTCTCTGCGCACTATATATATATATGATATATATATATAGTAATATATATATATATATATATATACATACATATATATATATACCTCTTTCTTTAGTGATGTAACCTTTTACTCCCGCTTACGCTCTCCCAAACTCACACACCACGCGTCTCTAGCGACCATCATTCTTGCAGACAACAAGACCATTTTAGGAGAAATAGTTAGGAATTAGTTAATCCGGACTGTGTCACAACAACACCATACTGTATAATAAATCGACGCACCAACAAAATTGCAAAACGAGTATATATATGTATATCATATATAATAAGTATAATATAACATATGCAAGTATGTCCTAGACTTAGAGTATAAGAAAATCTATCGCAAAAAAATCCACCACCTAGTCGCAAAACAGATCTTCACTAGAGAGAATATTTATCAGTAAAATCAACCTTCAGAGATCAATTCTGGATCGATTCATCATGGAAACTAAACTCTATCGTCAAAAAACACTACTAGAAAAGAAATATATCGAAACAATTTGATGGCTGTTGCTGTGGCGACCGGTGGTGAAACATCTTCTCTTCATATTTGATCTATCAGTTATAAGCTGCGATTAACGCTCGCTTCTGCGCTCTGGGGAGGAGAGGGGAGGGATTCCCTCTCTCTTACCTCTTCCTTCTTCTCACCTGCCTCCTTCTCACCTCCCCATCCCTCTCACCTCCCCCTCTCTCTCACCTCACCCTCCTTTCCACCTCCCCCTCCCTTTCACCTCACCCTCCTTCCCACCTCCCCCTCCCTCCTACCTTTTCCTCCCTCCCACCTCCTCCTCCCTCTCACGTCTCCTCCCTCTCACCTCCCCCTCCCGCTCACCTCCCCCTCCCTCCTACCTCCCCTCCCGCTCACCTCCATCCCCTCTCTCTTACCCCCCCTTCCCTTACCCCTCCCTCACTGCTACATGGCTTACCTTGACATTATATATATATACGTTGTATGATTTGTCCGTTTGTTGCCGTCGTTTCATTCCATTGTTTAAATCATGATCACTGTCGTCGTACACCTGGGTACATGTGTGCGCGTGCGTGTGCTTTCTCTCCGTCTAATTTCCGATCCTTTCTTTCTACCCCCCTCCTCTCTTTCACTCACGTACGTGGTGTCTATCATGCACATATATATATATATATATATGATGTGTGTGTGTGTGTGTGTGTGTGTGTGTGTGTGTGTGTGTGTGTGTTATGTGTGTGTGTGTGTTGTGTGTGTGTGTGTCGTAGTGTGGTGTGATGTGTGTGTGTGTGTGTGTAGTGTGTGTGTGTGTCGTGCCCATTAACGACAATAAATATTATTTATCGTAATACAGAAAATAGCAAAGCGTATTGTAATTGCAATTAATACTATATTTGACAACACACGATTACAATTTAATTCTATTTTTAGATTACATCATTTTACATTCATTTCTACATTATTTGAATTTCATTCATAGATAATCCCAATGAGAATTACATGATCACAGTGATACATATATCGACAGATAGGTCGCTGTTACATACCATATATTACCTTAGTTAATTACATTAATTAGCATTTATTTGGCTAATGGGAGATGGTTCTTCCCCAATCTCTTCCATTTGAGCATACATAGTGACAAGACAGTCAAATGATGGCAAGATAGTAAGATTGAAAACCGGATATTAATACGAAAAGAGGAATTTAAGATCGTGAAAGGATAGTAAGATGAAACCAAATCGGATCTCGAACACATCTAACGCCGCCTCGCCGCTACGTGGCGCTGCAGCCGCACCCGGTTCCTCTCAGTTCCACACGGCTGCAGTGAGAGCGACGACGACAGCGACTAGAGCGCCTCACAGCGGCGGTCGCGCGCGATGGGAGGTGGCGGCGCCGCGTGCCGTGGCTTCCGGCTCTGGTTTCTGTAGGAATCCGTTATCGCGGACGATCTGCTTGAGGTAGTATGATGAATCTTTAGCCACCCTCGGTCTGTCGTCGTCGTCAAAGTCAACGTGGTAGAGACCTGCGAGTAGAGAGAAGAGGATAGGGAGAGGGGGAGAGGGGGAGAGGTGGGTGAGTACAAAGCTAGTGATTTATATATAATGTGTGTATGAATATACATATATATGTGTGTGTGTAGTAGGATAGCTAGTTAATTGCCCACAGGCAACGCACACACGCACGCACGCACGCACGCGCACGCACGCACGCACGCGCACGCACGCACGCACGCACACACACCCACACGCACACGAGGTGATTGGGACGTGTTTGGTTGAGTAGAGATTATCTCATCAGCTCTGACGATACGTATCGTAGTGAGTAGTAGCAGCAGCAGCAGCAGCAGTAGTAGTAGCAGCAGTAGAAGCCGTAGCAGTATAAGTAGCAGCAGCAGCAGCAGCAGCAGCAGCAGTAGTAGCAGCAGCAGCAGCAATAGTAGTAGTAGTAGTAGTAGTAGTAGTAGTAG